CCTTTCCGATCTTACTTTATTCATTCTTTCAAGAATTCCTTAAAGTTTGTTTTTTATGTTTCATTGAGTGTCAATTTTAAACCCTCCTTTCTTTCGATCTTACTTTTATTTCATTCCTTTCAGACTTACTTCAAAGATTCATTTTAATGTTTCCTTGAAATGTCTTTAAAACCCTTCTTCTTTTTTCGATCTCTTACTTTTATTCATTCTTTCAAGACTTACTTCAAAGATTTTTTAAGTTCCTTGAAGATTGTGTTTCAGTTTTTTGAAACCTCTATCCTTTCGATCTTTCTTTTAATTCTTATATATTTAGCACTTTCTTGGCAAAGATTGAGTTTTTATGTTTCCGTTGAAAAGTGTCTTTTTTAAAACCCTTCTCCTTTCGATCTTATTTATCATTCTTTCAGACTTACTCTCAAAGATTTATTTTTTGATGGTTTCCTTGAAAGTGTCTTTTTCAAACGCCTCGACCTTCTTTCCGATCTTAACGCTTTATTTCATTCTTTCAAGCTTTCATCAACGCTTTTTTTAATGTTTCGCTTGACAAGTGTCAATTTTAAACCTCCTTTCCGTTTCGATCTTACTTTTATTCATTCCTTATCAAGACTTACTTCAAAGATTTATACTTATTTCATAGACTTTTCTTGACAGTGTCATTTCAAACCCCTCCTTACATATTCGATCTTTACTTTTATTTATTCTTTAGACTTCATCATAAAGATTTGTTTAATGTTTCTGAAAGTGTCTTTTTCAAACCGTCCTTCCTTTCGATCTTACTTTTATTTATTCTTTTCAAGACTTACTTCAAATATTTGTTTTTAAGTTTCGTTAAAAGTGTCAATTTTAAACCCTCCTTTCTTTCGATCTTACTTTTATTCATTCCTTCAAGAACTTACTTCAAAGAATCATATTTTAATGTTTCAATGAAAGTGTCGATTTCAAACCATCCTTTACCATTTCCGATCTTAACCTTTTATTTATTCTTTCAAGCTTTAGCTTCAAAAGATTTTGTTATTTATGATTTCTTGAAGTGTCTTTTTTCAACACTCCTTATTTCGATCTTACTATGTTATTATATTCTTTCAACTAGACTTACTCAAAGATTTATTTTTGAACATAGTTATCACTTGACAAGTGTCATTTTTCAAACCTCGCTTCGCTTTCGATGCTAACTTTTATCTATTCTTCTCCAAAACTTTCTTCAAAGAATTGTTTTTAAATGTTTCATTTGAGTGTCATTTTACA